GAGCACACCTAACCTGTGTCAGGGAGAAGGCTGTGTGAGCACACCTAGCCTGTGTGGGAGAGAGGGCTACAGGCTCTGGGAGACACAGTCAGGTGACCTCCACTAGCACTGTCTAAGAAGGATCCTCTGAGGAGCTTGTCTATCTGACACTTGAAAGATGAATAAGCCAATTCATAAAAAATGAGGCCAAGAAATTTATAAATAAAAAGAAAAGGGTGAGGTTCGTGCTAAAGTCTCCAGTCAATGAAGACCTAGATATGTTCCAGAAATTCTAAAGAAAATATGTAACTCGGAATGACCACAAGATAAGATGTGCCCATATTCTAGCTGTTTTATCAAACTTTCTGGAAGTCAGAACTGGAGAGATGGTGAAGCAGTTAGGAGCACCTCCTGTTCTTCCAGGGGACCGGACTCTGGTTCCAGCACCCAGGCTGGGCAGCTTGCAACCATCTGTAACTCTTGCTCCAGGAATTTGATGTCCATCTTATGGACTTCTTGAGCAACACACACACACACAACACAGCATCCAGCAGCATACATGATGCACACACTCAGACATACATGTATATGCATGCACATGCAAACACATGTAGGCACTCAGACATACACATAATTTTACAGATCATTTTAAAAACCCTCCAGGAGGTTATGGCAAAGACCTATGGCGAACAGAAGGTTTGTATTATATCATGTAATATTATATTATGTAACTTTTTATAAATTCATATAACACTGGCTGTGTAAAAAAAGGAAGCCTAAGACATCTGGTTTTAATGCTGTTGCCTTAGGCTTCTGAATACTCTAATTTCCTTCCTGTTTCTCATAAACATATTTTGCAAACATGTCTCATACAAACATTTTAGTGACAGTATGAAACACTGAGCAAGATATAAAAACTATCTAACTTTAGATGCTAAAATCACAACTGCAGCATGCCAGCAATTGAACTGACACACGGGTCCATTTCCAAATCTGCCCACCAAGTAACACAAACCAGTCGAGGCACAGCACACACCTGCAGAGACAGCACACTCCTACAGAGAAACAGCACACGCCCATAGTCACATACACCTGCAGAGACGCAGCACACACCTGCAGACA